TTTTCCATTGATCTTGTATCAAATCTTGCTTAGATGACAGAATGCTGTATATGAGGCCTCTCGAGACACAGTGTGCAACAGAGTTAGACAGTGAACAGAGTTCAACAGTAGTGTGGAGTGACAGAGAGAAGCAGAGGCACAGAGACAGGCCAGGTTCTCTGTGTTTCCTGTTGTTGCAATAAAACTCAGCTGATCATCTCACAGAGTACCTTCATTCTTGGACCAGCTTATTTCTGTCTCTGTTGTTAAATAAATATTGCCATAACAATATAGATTGATTTAATCATCCTGAAAAGATTCAAGAGCAGAAACCTAATTTTATAACATGGAAATGACATTGACAAAATCTGTCCCAGCTCTTAGATGAATAAAAAGTAGATTAATCATGCACTTTTTAAATCTCAGCTGACAGTCTTTGATGCTGATTAATTATTTTTCTACAAAGAAATGGATTACAGATGTTTAAAAATCCATGACAGAAAACGTTTGAATATTACATTTACTTGTGTCTTAATCACAACTTTTTGGTCTTTCTTTTTTTGGCAGTGCATGTCCTTTAGTGCTGTGATGGAGGAGTTGGGCATATCCCTGCAGTGCTACAAAGGCATCCGAAGCAGGTCGCGACCACACAGTGCAGCCAGGTCCCCCTGCGTCTTCTGTCAGCCCAAACGGGGTGCGAAAAAAGATGGAGGAAGACGAGACTCCAGCACATAAACTGCGGATAAACGTGATGAAATTAGTAAAACAGATCTATATAAATTTTGTTCCTCTTCTTATTGTAGATTGTGTGAATTAACGACTCTACAGTAGAAATACTGTTACAGAATCAAAGCCCTATTTGAATATTGTGTTAAAACAGGTGATGACTGTAAGACTAAAATGTGGTTTTTAGCTGCAGTTTCCAGAGCTGAATCTGCAAACTTTCTAAACTGCCCCACACTGTGTGACTGTACAACAGCTTTACAAATGTTCAGAATAATAATAAAAACAGAATTTTTTTGCATTTCTCAAACTTGCATGATTATTTGTTGTTGTTGACTGCTGTGCGTGCGTTTTTGTTTGCCTGATGGCGTCCCGCTCATAAACTTCAGAGTGATTCACTGAGCCGACCGCAGCCAGCGAGGAGCGATAATGACCTCTGAGGGAAGACAGGAACACACCTGCTGCTTCGTATCTCGTAGCATCACAGACGATCCAAACCAGACGCACGCACACATGCAAATAATCCGTAGCCTCCTGTAGACATGAGACGGGAAGAAGAGGAAGGACAAAATGAGAAAACTGTTTTTAAATGGTTTTTAAATGCAAAATAAATAAATAAATAAACAAACAAATAAATAAATAAATAAATAAATAAATTCTAACTGGGTTAAACAGAAAACCAAATTTCCTTGTTTAGCTCAGAGTACAGTAAAAGTAGCTTTTTTCCCCCCACTTTTCACGTGTCAAGTTTGAAAGCTTGAGGGGAAAGTCTTTTCTCTTAGCTGTCACAGCAGGTCCCAGTGGATGTTTGATATATGTTGCATTCAAAAAGTGAACAGTTGCTGCTAAAAAAAGATAAGCTAATATACATTTCAAACATGGCAAACATGATTCTTTTTACCTCATTGTTTATTAAAAAATTCTGCAGGTTTATCTGATATACTTTACTTACAGTATTAAACAAACTAAAACAATCTATCCTGCAGTTATTTGGGTCTTAGTATAGTCTAAGAATATGTGCTCTAACGTTTGGTTTGATTGATTACTACAAAATAAAATACCAAAAAGTTATTCTTAACATAACAAATGGCATCGTTTGAGTGAGTTGACTCCAGTAGCTTTCCAGATATGTGGGTATGCAATCAATGTAAACAAAGCACTCATATTCTCATATGCAGGGGTAGAGCCAGAGGGATGGTAAGCACCACCACTTGCACTTGATTATCCACCCCAGATGCCAACCCCAAAAGGGGCTCTTAGATCTTGTATTTGCATTATATATGCTAGCTGTGTATATTGAAAAAAATTGTAAAATGATATCATCTAGTGGTTAGCTTAATTTGGGATTAGCATTGATATTTGGCATGTGATCATTCTTATATACCTCACGTCAAATTTAACCTCAATAAAGTCTTAAAATGACTGAATTATAGCCTTTTTAAAGTTAGCTGTTGTGGCCATTTAAAGTCAATTAATATTTAATTTGGTAAAGATTATTTTTGGCCACTTCTACATTAATCTTGTATTATGTAATCTTGTATTACTAAAAAAAAAGGCTGAGTAATAAGTTGTTACTCATATTCAGCATGTTTTTGGATCATTCTTTGCATTTTTCACGCAAAATTCTGTTCAATATTTCTTCAAAAAAATTGGGATAAACTATGGTGACCATCTTGAATTTTCAAATCCAGAATGCTTTTTTTATTATTTGTATGCGCCCCATGCAAAACACCTTTGGCCACCCCTGTGCCACCCCTTGCTCCGCCCCTGCTGGGTCACATGATGGACCTCCATTAGACTGTTTTTTTTTTTAACAAAATAAGTAAAATACACTAATCCTGTTTCAAGTTTACACCAGCTTAAATTGTCTATCTATACACTTTAGTCAGCAAAAAGCAGCACATCAAAATTGTCAGATTTCTTGATTCTAAGCAGCTGCACTGCCAGTGTTGATAAGAATTTCACTCATTTGGAAAAATGTATGCATTTGTTTCTGACTTCATGATAAATTATAAATAATAAAATGAACTGACTGGAAGTAAAACTGGACAACTAAGGAATTCAAGCTTTGGAAAGCATTCTTTGTGCTTAGTTTACTTGTCTTCCTTTTTGCCACTTCTTGTCCATTAATCTCTTCCTTCCAGCAGCATTTCCATCATTCAGCCCTCTTTTAACTCTGTCAGCAAACCTCAGGTGAATTCTTTCAGAAAACCTTCAATTTGGTACTCCCCGACATTTTATAAACTTTGCCAACAATATTAATAGAATATTCAAGAGGATCCATGCTGACACTGTCAGCATTAGCGGATAAACCACTTTTGAAGGAAGGAGACAGGAAACAGAATGTTAACGGAGAGCATTAAGCAGAAAATCTCATGCATTTATCATCACTGTCTGTCAGGACAAAAATGACCTTCAATTCCCAGATTCCTCCAGCTAATGAACTGACATTTAAACCCCAAAAAGTGCAGTAAATTATATAAATGGCATATAAATTACTGCAAGTCAGAGTTTTTATCACGGAATTTCTCGAGGTAGACCAAGTGGACTGATTTGTGTACAGCCCAGGAGGACTGGACCAAGCTTTTCTTAATCTTTTCATGTAATGAGTTTTTTTTTTGTAGTATTGAGATTAATTCAGGGATTGGACTCTGTCCAGTGTAATAGCATTTGGTTGGCTCTAATCTCCTAAACCCATAATTCTTAATCAAAACCAAAGGCAGTATTTTTTTCTTTCTTTTTCTTATCTAATCCATCATGAATGAGGCCATGGATTACTAAACTGACCTTGGCATTCTGCTCCACTTTAGCAGCACTCCTGTCCATCTTAGACAGATATTATTACCTGGGTAACACTGTTGTTATGATTCTTGGCTTACTTGTTTACTCTTCCTTATTAAATTCATGCAGACAAAAAATTGCCTCAATAGCTGTGGAACACAAAGCCTTCACCTGTGCTGCAATGGAGGTGAAATGAGAAGATATAGAGCTATTTTCACAATTTTACATGAATATATTAGAAAAATTGTACTCGTATGTAAAAGGTCAACAAAACAAAACAAAACAAAAATCTGCTCAGGCTAGATTCAGAAGATTGCATAATATTAAATCAATTTATAGAGGCAATTCTTGTGGCTCGATAAAAAAAATCCTTCAAACCCGTCAAGTTTAGTTTGTGCACCCTGAGAATAGGCTCCCAACTGTACAAACAACTACAGAGGAAATACATTTAAACTGTGACTGCAGCATTAAAAAATGCCAGACGTTTGAGTGGGTCCCATCCATCAGAATGGAATGAAGAGTCCCCGAGGCTGATAAGGCAGGTCTGTGTCAACAGCCTGTCAATGAAGACAAACGAGGAGGAAGAGGAGGAGGAGGAGGGGGACTTTCAGAAGTGCAGAGCATCTTTTATCTCCGTGTGTGTCTGTTCCTCCTCTGTGTGTGGTTGCTTTTTTCTTCCACTTTCCACCACATGAAGGTCTCAGCTGTAAATAATTCGGGGCCAATGCTGTCATCTGCTGGTGTGCATGTGAAGTGGCCACACTGGGTTGTTTCCTCAAATCAAACAAAATAAAAATGTCTCTTCAGCTCACGAACACTCAGTGTTCTATAAATACACATCTACATAAATACGATGTTACCTCAGAGCTATTTTTTGAGGGTTTGTGGGAAAAAGAGGGAATATTCTTTTATCTATTATGTTTAAAATGCTTGGAAAGCAAAATTTCCTCTCCTTTAATACCCCCAGCAGTGTTGACTGTGGGTCACAAAACATCAGCTAACATCCACAAATCAAACTGAATGCAAAACTGATTGCTAATGACATTATGTAAATCGTTTTACCGTTTGTGTTACACAACTCGTTTGTCATAAAGTAATCTATAATAGGAACAGTCAAGGCTATTTGTGTTGTTATTTTGCTCTTTTTTGTTAAAGATATCAGTGTTTGTGCATTTGTCTTCAGGCAGATAGCATCTCATGGCTTTTTATGCAACATTTCTTTGCTTGTTGGATTTATTTCGTGTGTTTTATTAAAATAGAGCAGTCCAACAAACTGCGTTTTAATGTCCTCTTTATGCCTTTTTATCATGTGTGGAATTTTCTAACGCTTTCCATTCTTGTATTTTCCATTAACACAATTACCATCATTACAGCTGCTGTAGCTGCTGATAGACCATGAAAGAGGAGAATGATTCAGAGTTCTGTCTGCGGATCACCAAAAAAAGCAACGAGCAAGTTGTTTAAAATGGTCTTAGTTGGCAAGTATGTAAGTATTTTCAAATAATTTGTCCTTGATAGCTGCATGTTTTTTTCTTCCACCAGAATTTCTTAGTGCTTACATAAAAAGCTTTTACACCATGATGAACTCATGGGTCAGTTTTAAAGTAACTTAATGAGAAAATGTGATATTTTATAACTGTATCTTATTCAGCCTAACTTAACCATTGTTAACCTTAAAACATCATTACTTAAGGATGATTCGTACTTCATAAGCAATAAATTAACACTATTATTGCTTTACACCATGTGTTAGACAGGTATTAATGGTTAGAGGATATTTGAACTCATGATTTTGCTTAGATTTCCACGTGAAAAGGAACTTGTGAGGGTTTTGTAAAGGTTCACAAGAAAAAAACTTAAACTACTAGTAATTCAGTTTAAAAGTTCTCCAACCATTAATGCATGGCTAACACATGGTGTGAAAGTACATTTATATAAGCATTTATACATATACCCTTAGTACAGACAATTTTCTTTATTTAAAAATTATTTTATATCTGCCACTACATCTAAAACTTGAACAATCTCCATATTTGAGAAAATAAAAACAAAACTAGACATGGGTTTTTACGATGTAAAAACAAGTGTACATTGCCATGTACAGTAGCATGTCATTGCAGCATGGCTTTGACTGCAGCATTGGGCTTGCAGAATGAACTTTGACCAAGTTCAAATGTGCTTTCTATTCCAGCTTGTGCCTGTCACATCAGCAGGTGTTTTTAATTTAGGTAATTGTGTGACAATATGAAGTTTGCAGAGATAGATTTTTTGTTTAAGTTGTATTAGCTGGGTTTTGAACCCTGATCTCCCACATGAAAGTCCATGACATGGACCATTAGACCAATGGAGCTGTGGCAGAAGGTGGTGGCAGGGGTTGGTTTGTATGTGTGCAGAAAGAGGCCACATTGTCAATACAATTATTGACACTAAAATGCATAATATTACAACAATTGAGCAGTATTAAGACAATATTATAGTAAAACATCAAAATACAATCATATTAGTACTGTAAACACTGAACTACTGAGTTGAAATATTAAACTATGGTGCAGTACCAAGTTGAGTACAGCATGGGGCAGTATTGGACCAATACAAGGCTCCATTGACTGCCATTATAAATCATTAAACATTAATATTTCATAAACTGTAAGTTTTACAGGCACCAAAAGGCATAGCCATCATTTGGCACAGGAGCGTTACAGATATAAATTACAATGGCAGCTCTWGGACAAAGTATGCAGGAGGAGAAGCATGCCAAAGTTGAGATGACTTGGATGGGAAACGAATCATAATAGTGTGATTAAAACACTGATTAAAACAAAAATTACAATAATTCATGAGTCATTAAGCATGAATAAACAATGAGTGTGTTAGTTATTAAGAAATAAGTCTTTATTAGTAAAGCATTAATACATTTGTTAATTCATAGCTAATTATATGAATCATGTTTTCAAGGTTGACTATTGCTACCAAATTCTTAAAACCACTCTTTCTATTAAAGAAGCTTTCCCACATCAGAAGCCTAAACTTTGCAATTCTTTATCTTATTTTTTTGTCTTTTTAACCCCATTTTGGTGAGTTTGATTCTGAGCACAGGGCTGTGAAAATAATCACTTCGACGTTCTTTTTAGTTGTGAGTTTCTATCATGATGAAGCATTTCCTTTTTACATAAATACATGTGCTGCATAATTCATGAAACAGTGGCAGCAAGTTCCCCCAACCCCCGAGGCAGTAATAACATTTACACCTCCATGCTTCTTGACTTAGGTTTTCACCTGACAGGCGCTCTTTGCTCTGCGCCTCACACACAGAAGGTCCCTGTGGTCTGATAGCGGAGTACATAATTAAAAACAATGGTTTTCATGCAGGTTGAGTTTGCAGACAGCTGCAGGAGTTTGTGATAAAACTATACTGTTTGCATCAAGCAGAGCATTTTTAGGCTGGAAACAATTTGTCCTGCATGATCTGTCTGTTTGAAATACTTGTCTCTTTTTTGTCTAACAGTGATTAAAACTGGATCCTTTTTTCTTTCTTTTTTTGTTTTTTTTTTTTTTGCACTGTGGAGGTTTTAGAAAGCTCTTTAGAATGAAGTCACCACTCAAAAACAACACTAGGTCACAGATATCAGAGGTTTAGGTTCCACCTGTCACCTCACAAGTGGTCTATTGTTGTCTCCGATGCCCATTTTTGAGCCCCCGGATTCTAATTTTATGGATTTGACCGTGTTAAAAATATGCAGGCTAGGTGTACTTGTGATGCATTTAGGCACAAGTTCAAGGAGGATGGATTCATTTAGGATCAAATAATTGCTAAACTCATTGGTGAAGCTGCAAGCATTATGTAGGCATACTCTCATCATTTTCTAAGTGATCATGCAATTGAAACCCTATTGCTGACTTCACATGAAAGAGGTCAAAGGCCCCAAGGTCCCTGAGTGTTTTCATCCAACAAAAGCAAACTGTCTCATTGCACAGCTATTGCACCGCAAAGAACCATCCCCGCGGTGTGACTGTGTCACTCAAAACAGAGCTGCTGCAGCTATGGGCATTTTTTCGGGCTAAAGTCATGTCATCTGAGCCATTTAATTAGGTCCGCGGCCGCCACAGGGGGACGGCGAGCAGAAGCATTCTTCTGACGAGCCTGCATGCGCGCCCTCTCACCGCGTGGCTGCAGTCTGCGGAGAACAAATGCAAGTAAACCGAATCTGCCCGGAGTCTCAAATTACCGAAACCGGCCAAGCAGACGTCTTGACTCAAGCTGGGATTAAAAAAAATAAAATAAAAGTTTAGTTCACTTTAAAAAAAAACAAAGAGAATCAAAGGATCCAGACAACCGCGCTGGCTGGAGGGGGACTCGTGCCATCACGCTGTTGGACTTTACGCAAAAGCTGCGGCACTTCTGAGAAGACCAGGTCCCGACGGGGAAACTGAAAGCCCCATAAACTACCCAGGACGTCCGATCCAGCTTGGATTTGAACTTTACTGTGAGGAATTTTCCTGACCCGGCTTTCGGTAACACTGACCTGTTGGCACAGATGGCTACTTTACCTCTCCAGCGCATGCAGGAGATGTTTTACGCATAACTCGACTTGTGCGTTAACAATGCACACAAATAGAGCCACTTTTCCTCACTTTTAATATTGTTACATGTTATTGCATGCTACTTACTTTAAAATTCAACCATTTTGTTTAAGAGATAAGTGTTTTTTTTTAATTTGTTACACAATTTGTTTAGAAGGTCGTTCCATGAGGGTTAAAGCAGACAAATGCTCAGATATAAAAAGCCTCCACCTTCACCGAAAGGAGGGGGAGGCAAGTAAAAGCCAGTCTGTCAGAGAGCTCTCTAATTATTTAATCCCACAGCAACTCTAAATGCATGATGAAACTTGTGGCTGTGTGTGAGCAGTTGGTGTATTTATAAAGACCCCCCAACAGAACAGATTCATAACATGCTTTCTCAAAACGTCTGCAGGCTTCCAGTCCAACAGTGCAGCACCTGCTGAGTTCACTGTTATCATTTCTCTGGCTGGTTTAAAATATATTGATGTACTTGATCAGGGGTAAGAAAAAACTTTAAATGTTACATTGGAAAATACTCAAAAGGTAAAATATCAAAAGGTAAAATTTTAAAAATAAGAAAACATGATGGTCCTTCTGAGGATCAAAACAACAAAAAACTTTAAGAACATTATTAATCCAGGAAAGACAGAAAAAAACATGAAACAAAATAAAACAGCAAAACATCATGTAAACAAATCGAGAATAAAATCTAAAAATTCCTTTAGGAAAAATGTGCCAAACTGAGGGCCCGTGGGCCAAATCTGGCTCATGTTAACATTGTTC